CTACCCGAGAAGGGAGGTCTGACCCGATGATGTCCGATGATCCCTTACAGCCTTGCCCGTTCTTCACAGGAAGGATGGCCAGGCATTGCAATGGGCTGCCCGGGGAGGTGGTGGAGTCGCTGTCCCTGGAGGTGTTCTGGAGCTGGGGAAGGGTAACCAGTCTGAGAGGAGCAGCTGAGGGAGCTGGGGAGGTCTCAGCCTGGAGAAAAGGAGACTCAGGGAGGACCTTCCTGCTCTCCACAGCTCCCTATGACAGGAGGATGCAGCCGGGAGGAGGTCGGGCTCTGCTCCCAGGACACAAGGCACAGGACCAGGAGGACATGGCCTCAAGCTGCACCAGGAGAGGCTTAGGTTGGACATCAGGAGGAATTCCTCCATGTAAACGGTGATTAGACACTGGAAAATGGGCAGCTCAAGGAGCTGGTGAAGTCCCCACGCCTGGAGGTGTTTACAGAAAGACTGCACGTGGCACTCAGTGTCCTGGTCTGGTTGACAAGGTGGGGATCGGCCACAGGGTGAACTCGATGATCTCAGAGGTCTTTTCCAACCTTAGTGATTGACTGTGATTCTGTAGCTGGCCACTGGGACCTTCATTCTGGGCAGTAACACTGGCACAGCGATGAGCACCACGGGCTGTAACTAACTGGTCAGGAAGGCTCGTCACACTCACAGAGTGGGGTTGTACAGCGGGGCAGGAGCCCCTGCAGGGGTACCCGGGCTGCACAAGGAGGGCTGCACAAGGAGGGCTGTCCGGCTCCCCCGGCACCACAGCGCCCGCCAGGCACTGCCCGCACCTCCTCGGCCAGCCCTGTGGGGAGCAGCACAAGCCGTACTTATCCCTCACTGCGTGGCTCACAGACCACAAAGTGGCGATGAAGCAGCACGAACAGCGCCTGTGCATGCTTCCACCTGGCGTTTGAGCTGATGAAACATCGAGTCGGGGCCAGTTCAGTCTCAGGCAGACGTGTTTTTAGCATAGCCACTATGCTAAAAAGTGGCACTGGCTTCTGTCACTTTGTAGCACACAGGGACAGGAAGAGTCAGTGACATCACCAGGGCAAGCGCGCATGAGGCGGGGTGAGAAATCGGGCATCTCCCCTTTTTCCTTGCGGGCTGACAGGCTCTTTGGAGAGCACTGATTTCCTGCTTTGGAAGAGCAGTGGATTAGATTGTAGGGCGGCCTTGTATTGTCATGTAGCAAAACCACTCCAGACTTTTTCTACTTCAAGACTGGTTCAGAGTTTTTTTAAGTCTTGGGATTGAACAAAATTGCAAAGACAGAGTTAAGCATTAACTTGCTACTGCTTCCCCTGTAATCATGGAACCAAGCAAACATTCCTGTTCTCCTATAGTAGCAAGCATTACATAATGGCCTTTGTTTTGATACTAAGAAAATATGAGTGTTGTCTCCTACATTTCATAATTTCACAGTGTTGCATTACTCTGTGTACTTTGGGGTTTGTCCAAGCCCAGCTGAAGTGAAGGGGAAAATTCCTCTGGCTTCCAAACCCCACAAGTCTCCAAGGGGAAAGAGCACACCACAGCACTTTGGGTGCACTTGGCTCTTTTATGAACTTTGCTTAGACCTACCTGGAGTAGTGCAAGATCTCATCAGTCCAGCATCTCTCCTGGGAAAACTTTCCAACTCTCTGGGGAAGAACAGCAACCTCCTGCATTTGCCACCTCTCAGATTTCCTGAAAGGAAGGGGATGAGAGACAGAAAAGGTCCATGAATCTCTTGAAGATACCACCTTAGCCAGGGTACACCATCTTAAATGACTTCCTGAGATACCTGCCCACCCAAATTCACCCCCAGCCAGGCAAGGTAAGCTGATATTGTATTTCCTGAGTTTGTTGGCTCGGGCTCAATTCTTATATTCTTTGTGCCATTTATCCCAAATGAACTGGTGCACAATAGTGTCTCTAAAGTTTGGTTTCTTTTATTAGTATTTTAGTATTTGTACACCACTCAGGATGCATCTCAATATCCCTAATTAAACTCAGTGTTCACTGAGCAAAACTGCTCTGACCTTTTCAGAGCACAAAGGGAATCAGCCATGCTGCTGTTTACAGGGTGGCAGCAAGTTAATGCTTAACTGTGTTATTGTAATTTTGTTCAGTCCTTCAAGACTGTTTGAAAACCCATGTGACAGAAGCACAGCTCTTTTCCAGTGTATGACTGACCCATGTTTGGCCTTGGATTGGGTTTTGCAGTCAGTCTCTTGCCCCAGTTGCCTGTGCATGTTTCTCATGCCTGAATGTCCAGTCCTGCAGCAGAGGACCAAGTGCACTTCCTGTCCTGCATGAATGGCCAGGGAACTGTGAGGCCAAGGAGGGAAAAGTCACAACAAGCAAGTTCAGGTCAGTAGATTGCTTTGGTAGGAGATATTTTCCCTTTTGGATGTTGCCTGCCTGCACTGACCAGTAAGTAATGTTTTTTTCCTGAGCTGACTATGATAGTTTAGTACCATGAAAGGAGTTTATCTCTGCAGAGAAATTAAGAATAAAAGGCATCTGAAGGAGCTGTGGATGACAGAGTTGCTTCCCTCATCTCTAAGAATGGAATGAGAAGAGCTTTTAAGACTTTTCTGTCAAGTGCTTCCTAGTGTTTTTAGAGTATACTAACAGGTTTCTAGCATGATTCACACATTACTAAAATGAAGAGGAACAGCAAAAGGGAGGCATCTGTAATTGACTTTTGGGGAGGGATAGCATGGCTGAGAAGGGAGGTACAAGGAGAAGTGCTGGGAGACAGTGTTTTTGAGGGAGAGAGATAAACACTGGAGTGCAAGAGACAAATCTGATGTGTTCCAGCTGAGATTTTGAGCTGCCCTTGTAAGCTTTGAGGGCATGTGAGGTGGCAAATTGGCCTGTGTGTGCAACTGAAGGGAGGGGCTGCTGCAACCAGACAAGACTATAGCTCCCTTAGGGAAAGACCCCATGAAGTTGGCTTAACTATCGCTGAATAATGGCTTACCTGCAGCTGTGTCCAGGTGTCTCTGAGCATCTCCTCCCCTAGATCATGTCTGATGATTGCAAAATGATCTGCAGTGCAGCAACACAGCTGCCAATGACAGTGCAGCAGCTGCCTCCCTGTTCCAGCTGCACCAACAGGGCTCTTTCCCTCTTAATTTGTACCTTTTGCCAGAGGACGCTGCTTTGCCGGAGGGCACTACTGATGGCCTCCAGCCACTGAGGGCTGGAAGCTGTCTGGAGGAAGAGATGAAGCAACCCCCAGTAAATTTGCAGACTGTGCCAGGTTGGTTGGGAGTGTTGATCTGCTCAAGGGCAGGAAGGCTCTGCAGAGAGACCTGGACAGTCTTGATCAAAGGGCTGAGGACAACAGTGTGAGGTTCACTAAAGTCAAGTGCCACATCTTGCCTTTGGGTCACGGCAGCCTCTGCAGCTCCAGCCTGGGGCAGGGATGCCTTGGGAGCTGATCAGCTGGAAGGGACTCTCAGATGCTGTTTGACAGCAGCTGGATATGAGCCAGCAGTGTGGCCAGGAAGGCCAATGACATCCTGGCCTGTATCAAGAGCATTGTAGCCAGTAGGACCATTCCTCCCCTGTATTCAGCATTGGTGAGGCTGCACGGCATTCAGTTCTGGGCTCTTCACCTCTAAAAGGACATTGAGGGGCTGTAGCATATCCAGAGAAGGCCAACAAGGCTCGGGAAGGGTCTAGAAAACATGCCCCATGAGGAATAGCTGAGGGAGCTGGGTTTGTTTAGCTTTGAGAAGGCTCGAGTTGGGGAGACCTCATCGCTCTGCACAACTCCCTGACAGGAGGCTGTAGTGATGTGGGGCCGGTCTCTGCCGTGCCTTCAGTGAGACGACAGGAGGAAATGGCCCTAAGGCAAGACAGAAGAATCAGATTAGCTATTAGAAAAAGTATTTCACTGTTTGAGAGGCCAGGCACTGGAATAGGTTGCCAGGTAGGTAATGGAGTCATGGTTCGTGGAGGTGTACAAGAGGTGTCTGGATCTGGCGCTGGTTGATGTGGTTTAGGCGTTACAGTGGCAGTGCTGACTGCATGGTCGGACTGGATGATCTCGGAGGTCTCTTCCAGCCTTGACGATTCTGTGATTCTATAAGGGCGTTGGTGGCGTTCCTGAGGGAAAAACAAAGCAAAACCCGCCGTCCGCGATGGTGGGAGAGCCGCAGGCGGAGCTGAGGTGCGGACCGGCAGTGAGGCGGCCCCAGGCTCGTGAGGCGGCCTGGGGGCTCTCTG